GGCACCACCGCCTTCCCCAGCACCCTGGGCGGGCTGGGGCAGAGCGGAGTCCCTGGCCGGGCAGCGGAAGGGGCAATGAAGGTGTGGGAGTATTTAAGCAGGAGGGAAATACCCCATTTAGAGATGAGTCGGGATGGATCTGCTGCTCCAGGGAGAGGACAGGGGCTTTGCCTGTTCTCCGTGGGGTGCCTGGCCCTACTTGGCATCGATGCAAGGCCAGTGCCCGGCCCTGAGCCCAACACAGCGCTACCTGCGATGTCCTGCCTGAGCTCTGGGGAGGGCTAAGTGGTGGTTTTGGGAGCCTGGCAGCAGGAGGACGAGTTGGCCAGGGCCTGGTGGGGCTGAGCAGGAGGAAGGCGAGGGGGGGCCTTACATGGGGTTGCCCTGCCCGTCACACTGCAGCTGGAGCTTCTCGCCTTCCCGTGGGTACTGGGGATGCGGCTCGATCTTTGCTGTCGGCTTGTCTGAAAAAGGAGAGGCACAGTTGGGTGACCGCCTGTCCCTGCCCCACACTGTGCAGGGGCCTCCCGGCACCCCAAAACCCTGCCCCTGCACCCTGCCTCGGCCCCAGCTCTGTGTGTACAGGGGTGCAGTGTGAGTGCACCTGCAGGTGGTAGGGTGCACCGATGTGAGGGTTGGCACTCTGGAGATGCACAGTGCAGCTCCCACGTCCCTCACCCTGTCATCACAGGGGACATGCAAGACAAGGGGAATGGGAACAGGCAGGACACAGGAGATGGTGCAAGCGGGTAGGAAGGGATGGCACAGACAAGTCTCAGGGAGATAGGGACAGGCAGGACATAGGGGGCAGGGACAGGCAGGGGAAACCAAGGGCATGCATGCGCAGGGGAAGTGTCACTGTGCATTGCCCCTGTGCGTGACAGGACCGTTGTGCATGCAGGTTGATGAGCCTGTATGCATGTATGTGTGATGGCTGTATGTATGTGTAAATGTAGGGCCATGTGTGTGATGTCTGCTCAACTGTGGTGATGCTGAGGCCTCCTCCACCTCTCCCACCCCTCCACAGCCCTGTCCCCTTCCCCATGTGGCCCTGTCTCATCATCCCCACACATGACGTACAGTGGACCTGCAGCTTCTGTGTGGTCGACCTCTCGGAGTTCTGCAGGGACTCGTGGTCCACGGTGCAGGTCACCTCAGCTTCGTTGTCCTCCTTGGTGACGCGGAACTCCACCCGACTGCTCACGGTGAAGGTCTTTCCGTTGGGGTCCTCCACCACCTCGGTGCCCTCATCTGTGGGGACAGGGGACCGTTAGAGCTGATGGACACAGTACCCTAGCAGAGGTGTGAGGCTGACACGCGTGTTGAGCAGGGGACACCTTGTCCCCATGCCTTTGTTGGCAGTAGCATAGGATGCCAGTGTGGTCCAGCACCGGGCACATCTGCAATGCCTGGTGTCCCACCTGCCTCCATGGTGTTCCCCAGCCACCCCAGTCCCTCGGGGCAGAGCCCCACTGCTTGTGCACCCACCCTTCAGCTCCTTGTTGCCCTTCTTCCACCGGAGCTGGGCCGCAGGCTTGCTGCCAGAGGACCGGCAGGTCAGCCGGGCTATCTTCTCCTCATCAATGGGCTGCTCATGACCGAAGATTTGGGGTTTCTGGGGGATTCCTGGTAGAGGAGGAGGCAAGAAATACAACAGCCTATTAGCTGTGTGTGTGCTGCCACCCAGAGACGGATGCACATGCAGAGACGTCAATAAACACAGCAAGGATGAGTTAACGGGTAGGGATATGGGAGTAGCAGAGATGAACAGCTGCATGGACAGCATCTTGCAGGCAGGGCAGTAGCAGGCAGGAGATCGGGAGCAGGTGGGGGGGCTGCCACCAGTGGCTTACCCAGCACGGTGACGAGGGCCTTCGCAGTCCGCACGGGCATGGTGAAGATGGAGCAGGTGTATTCCCCCTCATCTGACAGCACCACATCACTGATGCTGATGGTCAGCTCATTGGGTGTGGACCTCTCCAACTGGATCCTGTTATCTCGCAGGGCTGGGGGAAAAGGGACAACAGGGTGAGTGACAAGCTCTGTACCATCACACCCCTCCGCTAGCTCATATTTTGCCTGGTGGCATCACTGTAGGTGGGGAGCAGGAGGGAACATCATCCTCTGGGGCACCATTGGCCCTGGTCCACTTTCTCTCTGCCCCACCATTGCTCTGGTCCTGGAGTGGGCTCCTCTCCCCCAGCCAGCCCTCTCCCATCCCCAGTTCCTGCGCATGTACCTCGTTTCTCCCCAAAGTAGAGGGTCTGCTGGGCAGGGTTGGACCACTGCAGCGAGGAGTCATCGGGATCCTCCACCTGGCACTTGAGCACCACTGTACCACCGGCTACCACAGTCTCATCCGATGTTGTGGGCTGGCTCTCTGGACACAGACAGGAGAGGTTAGTGGGGGCCCTGGGCATCACCTCTCCCCAGGTGTGCACGAGCATCACTGAGCAACCAAGGGAAGGGAGGGAGGAACACAGCAGTGTCCCCAAAACCCCTGGGACAAGTAGGCCTCCAGTGCTGGGCTGAATACAGCTTGCTTGGGACAAACATTTTTTCCAGCTGACCCTAGGCCCTGGATGGCTGGGCTACACAGACTGGGGTAGGGGGACCAGGTCACCTTGGCTCAGCTGCTCTGGGTGGCAGCATGGAGGGGCATGGGGAAGAAGAGCAGGTGTTGGCAGAGGTCTGGCTGGATCCAGGGAGACTGTCAGTGTGAGTGTATGCCAGTGTGCACATGTGTATATCTGGGAGCATCTGTACAGCCCCTTGAGCATGGATGTGCGCGCACACACACGTGCTTATGGTACATGTCCCACTCCAGGGACAAGGGGTTTCTACTGTACAGGCAGCGTGCTTGGAGTGGAGCCCTTCTGCACACCCTGGGGACAACAGGGACCTGCTCACGGGCACACGTCAGCCCAGGTCTCCCACTGCAATCCCATTCCCCAGCAGGGAACAGCCCCACTACAGCTGCAGAAGCAAGGACCAGCGGGCAGGATCCGTCCTGCTGCCCAACCTGCAGCACCTGCTGGGACGGCAGCTCCCAGGACACTGCTGTTCGCGGGCAGTAGCTCCATGCCAACCTGCACAGACACATCAGTGTCAGGCCTGGCTCCAAGCATAGCCCCTGGGGCTGCTGTAAGATACAGGCAGCTGGTGCCCACCAGGCATAAGCTGATCCAGACAGGGGCAGGGGTACGCCAGGAGGCAGCAGGAGAGCCTGGCACCAGCACAGGCACCAGCTGAAGGTGCCTGGGGAGGCAGCAAGCTCTGCTCCACTGCCCTGGCAGTGCCAGCAAGCCAGGGCTCGCACCCATGGTACCTCCATGCCAAGCACCCCATGCAATGGGATGCTCCACCAGTCATCTCCACCCCTGCCTCCAGCAAAAGCATCCGTGGTCCACTGAGTGTGGCCTGTGGGGTGCAGTCAGTGGCCTGCTCTCCATGTTATTCCTTAAGGGGATTTTCTCTTGCTCACGCTGCTCCTGGGCTCTGCACGTCCCTTCCCAGACTGCGTTTCCTCAGCTAAGACATTGTCCTTTGCTTCCTTCAGGCTCCTTGGAGGGCTCCACACTGCCAAGCAGCCCAAGGACAGAAGAGAGCAGCAACAGGATCAGATAACCCCCCCGCCTGCCCCAAGGACAGCTATTTTGGGAAAGTTGATGTGCCAGTGAGCTGAGCTGCACAGGGAGAAGGGGGATGCTGGCTCTCCCAGCCGGGGGCTGTACACCCTCCTCACCCAGCTGGGTCCACAGGCAGCCACATGGACAAGAGGGAGGAACACGGATGCTTCTATTTGCACTTTGCTCATGTGCTGGACACAGGGCTTCACAAAGTGTCATCTTCTATCTCAGCCCAAGTTACTCATGTTTAGGCAGGGTCTCCTCCTCAGGACCCCTGAGCCTTGGGTGATCCTGCCTGTGTGCCCACGCAGCCTGTAGTGCAGTCCTGATTTCACAGGCTTGGTTTCCTGCGTGATATTCACTGCTTGGGAGAAGCTCCAGTTATCAGAAGGAGAGGGGTGGAAGCAGCTTCGGATGAATTTCCCCATTTTCCACTCAGAATGGTGAAGGGAAATATTTTCTTTTGCTCACATTGCAAATTCCCCAAAGCTATCGCAGGGAGCGGGAAGGAGTGAAGAGGAAGGAAGGCAGGAGGACAAGGCTGCTGGGCTTCCCAGGGACCACTTGACTCATGTTAAACTCCAGGAAAGCCTGGGCTGGAAAGCACATGAATCCCTCCCTGCCCACTCCCAGCAGCCATGATTACCAGAGATGCATCAAATTTGGATTAAAAACATTCCCAGGGTAAAGACTCTCTCTCCAGCCCAAGGAAACTCCCAATCACTAATGCTAATGTTTCATGCTTGCTATTGAAGTTTTGATCCTCTCCACCTGCCTGGGTTTGATGGCCAGCCCTTGGCCATCGCTACACTCTTGGTTGAACACCTCTGGTTCTTCCCTGCAGACATTTACAGGTGGTGATCAAGCCTTCCCCACACACCAGCCGGATGGAGCACCCGAGCCTCACTTCACAGCCTGTTCCCAGCTGATCACAGCCCAGGCTCTTCCCTGACATGTCTCCAGCTCGCTCAAGGCCTGGGCACAGTGGGGGCTCTGGTGAGGACCACTGGGACCCCTGATGCTGGGGATGGCACTGGGCGAGCAAGACACCACACACCCCCCCCGCCGTGGGGGACACGTCTCTGCCACGTCACATGCTGGGGTCTGCAGCTTGGCCAGGGATGGAGGCCATGGCTCTCTGTCTGCTCCTCTGGAGAGATCTGTCTGTCAGCTTGTTTTAATTTGGTTAACAATGCCTTTGTGCTGCTACTACCATAATTAGGGGATTAGGCTGCTGCAAGCTGCTGTTGTCCAAACTCAAAACACTCCAACTCAGATGCCATTGAGGACAGGGTCTAAAACCCACACAGAACAGACCCAATCTCTTAATTAACACAATTACCATCACCTGCCACAGCACTAGCCTCATTAAGGTATTAGTGTGGAGAGACATTAAACAGAGCAAGGTGTCTTTCCCCCAGGGCAGGGGCCAGGCAATGCCGCCCATACCCCCATGCTGGGTGACACACAGGGCACCGCACAGACCCACTGAAGCTCCAGCTTTGCCTTGTTGACAACCTCCCTTCTCCCTTCCCGGCTCACAGCTGTACAGCCAGGACCACCAAGATGGGTCTCCAACCCCCCGGAGACCATGCTTCTGTGAGAGCTGCAGAGCCCTGCGTTTAGCTTTCCCACCTGCAGGCATGTGCTGGCGGCTCATGCAGGGTGGGGGACACAGCCCCACACCAGCCCCTGCGGCAGAGCCCCTCTGGCCTGCCGCACTGTGCCCTCCGGCACGACCTAGATACTCAGCTCGCCTCCGTGCCATGTGCCCGACAGCTTGGAGGAACAGATGGGCACGGCTGGGCCACTGCACCAGTGCAGCTTGGTTTAATTAAAAACCGCCATGGCTGCAACCCCGTCGCCC